ACTCGTTGAAGTCGTTTACGGCCAGAATTGGTCCCATTCTTCGGCGCGACAATGACTTCTTGACGTACTCTACGAACGCATATCAACTCATTTTCTACGAAATGCCCACTTCTGTCAAGTTTGTACTACTCGTGAGTCCCGACGCCACCAAAAACAACGAGTACTACAAACAACTGTTGCGAGACATGTATCGTATCGTTTATGTCGAGTATTACGTCAAGAATGTCATCAAAACTGATTCAGTCATCGATTCGCAACTGTTTCGCGACAAACTCATTGAGTTCTTCAGCAAAGTGTAGACCCCATGTCTCGCAATACCTTTTATTGTATAATCAAAGCTCTCATTAAGTCAAATGGATTTTAACTTTTATTTGATGTCAAATAATTGAATGAAATTTATAATAAAAAGTTAATTTAAAAGTTTAGACATGTATTCAATGAGTGATTATTATTCGGGCTTTTCTTTAGGCGTTTCCTTATAGTAAAGGAACACAAAACTGAAGACAAAGACTCCGAACATCATTGAGAAAGAGCTGATATAATAGGGATAAGCGGAGAGAATGAAGCGCTCGTATTGGGTGTGTTGTAGTGGACGGACACTGACTTGTGTTGAACTGTAGACATAAGTGAATCCAATTCTCTTGTACTCCACTTTGAACTGATAGACGCCGTAAACGTCCGGTATTTTGAAGTTTGAAACGTAAGAATTGCCCACTTTTTTGAGGACAGTTCTGACGAATGGATCGATTCTTACGAATTCCAACTGAACGTCATTCGCATCGAAAGGAATCCATTTTCCCGATACGTATCGCTCGATCTCAATGGAAAAGACCACGTCTTCCAACACAGTGTACGCTTCGGGCGGAGTCTTCTCTCCCAACTTGTGGTGACGGATACGTCCGACACGGAGTACTCCCTCTTCTTTGAACACCCATTTCGATAGAGCGATAGCCAGCGCTTCGTTTCCGGACTTTTCTACTTTCTTATCGGTTCCTCTCTTTTGAACACCAGATGTAAAGAAGGCATCGCTGAAGAAATCTAGAGATCCGGTGAACACGACTCGAGCGTTGTTTCGGGCCTGAAGTGCGGACACCAAAAGTGTATTCTTGCCGACGGCGTGCGGATACTGTTCGGCAAAATTGCAGTCAATTAGTGATTATTGTTGAATAAAACAGATTAGAAATGAATACTTCAGTGATTTTCTTATTGGGATTATAAGAATAAGCGGTCGAAGCGGACAGAAGAATGTCCAAAACGAGTGGATTGTTTTGATCGGAAACCATTCCAATGCCTCTGTAAAGAATGGGTCCAATCTTTGCCCGATCGCCGACAATAGTGGGCGCCGGCAATAGACTGTCCGATTCGGCGACAATCAGTGTGTGCTGTCCCGCATCCGACACATCATAGTTCATGTGATCGATCACATGAGCGCCCTCTTCGTCGATCTCAACGCCCACTTCTGTGGCCAACTCTCTGATAGCGTCGCCGACATTACTGTTGGCGGCGACTAAGACATTGCCGCCATTGTCTATGAACTCAGTGATCGCCTCAACGTTTACATTACCACCAAATTCTGTGTCAAATCACATTCACCGATAAATGAAGACATTTCAGACAACAACTCATACCTTCGACAGACGGCGAGAATATAATGAGGTTTTGGTAGACATGAGAGCCGTATTTGACTAATGAAAGGGTCGGGTCATCGGCTGAACGGTATGTCAACTGAAAGCCTCTCTCTATTCAAAGTAAATGACATTTCAATTAGTTTTGACTAAAATTGCATTTAAAAAGAGACAAACGTTGAAGTGATCTGAAGAATAGCGAATGAGTCTCTCTGATGGACAGGTTATCCAACAGAACCAATGTCTCCATTTGGGCCCAACCTATGGCCACAAGTGATAACAAACTCAATACTCCTAAGCAATACATTATGATTGAAATGATAATAGCGAATGAGTCTCTCTGATGGACAGGTTATCCAACAGAACCAATGTCTCCATTTGGGCCCAACCTATGGCCACAAGTGATAACAAACTCAATACTCCTAAGCAATACATTATGATTGAAATGATCACTAAATGATCAATTAATTTAAGATAATCTCAATTTAATAGCAAATAAACGCCGGTTTTGTTCACATCAATGAAGTGTTGGCATCAGTCCTATAGTGAGTGTCATTCATATATTACGTTACTTTTTTTATTTATATTTTCTTAATTTGTTTTTTGTTAATTACATTTAAATATTAAAATAATTACAATTAAATTATCTTAAAGCTATAAAATGACTGCTTATTATAAATATAGACTAAAATGAAGTGAAATGTGTTGTTTGGCTAATGGTTTGCATGCATTTTAAGTGATATATTTCGATGACAACATAGAGTGGGCGGAAGTTTCCAATTGTATTCATAGGAAAGTTTAACTTCGCTTTCAATTTGACATAATTTACCAAAAGTTTGTAAGTTTTCGTATAAAATCTTCAATTTGTCGACACTTTGCTTAT